TTCATAATTACAAGTTTGCCACCGCGTCTTGTACAACGTCGGTCTTCGTGATAACCGACGTTGGATGCTGTCGTAGAAAGTGTTTTCTGTAGTAGTGTTTGTATCAAAATCATTTTTTAAAAGGTAACGATTTGACATTAATGTTATTAATTTAAAGGTGTTAAATATCTTAAAGTAGTAATTTAGAGTGAAAAAAAAAAAAACTTATGCATAAAAAATGTAAGCTTTGGTAAGAATTTTCTTTTTGTCGTAATCTTTTTTATTTTATTTCGATGTTGTCATGTAATTGTATAAACATAAAATGTTTAATTTTGAAATTCTTGTAAGTACTCTAGATAATATTGTCTGAAAATAAATGTGACCTCTATCCTCCGAATATAAGAGAATAAGTGATCACAAACTAATTGATTAATAGGTACTATTTGTTGTTAATTGGTCAAACATCTTGATCTACTTTAACAGTTCATAGGTTTGTTTTAAACTTGTGTTAATAATGAACCTTCAAATAGTTTGGGCAAGAAATGTTCATGTTTCAAATTTCTGGCCTACAAGAAAAATCAGAATTGAGTGTTGCACGTGGGTGAGGTCCCATGAGAGAAAATTCAGAGGCAGAGACACACGTGTAAGAGTGAATGTACATGACCTAATATCTCAACCTTATTGAGGCTGGCCCAATAACGTTTACGCTGTCCACTTTTAGAATAGCAGACATAGCGATGTGGGACTAATCTTTTAAATGTGAGAGTGAGAGCACGTTTTATAAAGATGAAATTCACAGTAAAGGAAGGTCCTCAAGATTAAGTGAATGTGAAGGAACTTGACCTGGTTTACTGGTGCCGGCAATGATAAGCGGAAAGCATGTCAGGTCGACAACGACATCGACTAGGTTTTGCTTTGAGGCAACACAGTACACGTGATCATGGCCACTACTAGAGGGCACAGCATTGCCTTCAACAAACTGTTCTTTTAGAAATCTCAACACATGATTGTGTTATAGCCTCGTGTGGAAAGACATGTTCTATTTTAGGAGTATTCAACATCAACTTGAGGACGAATACATTAATTGCGTTACTAGAAGTATCCAGGTGTATGAAATTTACTCACCACCCCGACAAATTTATGTGAAATCTCCCTTTTTCTTATACTTTTTTTCCAGGGGGTAATGGGTGGTGTGCTAATAAAAGCTATTGTTTTGATCGAGTCTTTCACTGGGTTGTAGAATCTGAGTGCTGACAGTGTTAATTGTTGTATGTTAATATCTTATGGAATTTGAGGTCATTTTAACTCTTCTGAGGGGAGAAGGAATATTTTAACATAGGAAGAAGGGACAGAAGACAATGTCGTCCGTATTCTATAAGCTTCGTGTACATGAGTCAGCTTGTTCAAGCAGAATAATGAATAGTGGTTTTTCATGAGAAGCAATGAATCATGTCAACCATGACTTGGACTTAAATAATGTAGCAATGTCATCTTGGAAAAATTGTTATATTATCCTGGAGTTGCATACTCTAGAGAGAAATTAATTTCTTACTCTTTTTCTCTTACTTTTCCACCCTCTAAAATCAACGGTAAGATGTTTCATAGAGGAAGAAATATCTTAAGCCTGGTCCTCTTGTGCCACATGGTACAAGTGGAAGCTTCATTTAAGAATCTAAAATGACTTCTTTCGCAAATGCGAGTTATGTCTTAGAACTTTTGGTAGGTAGATAATCTTATTATTTAGTCATGATTACATCTATAATACTCCATCCACCGACTGATTTAGTATTTTATTTGACCCATAAATAGGAAGATTAACATTGGTTAGGCCTATAACCTACAGTATAACTGTCATTAAGAATGTCTTTATGTGCAGACAAGTTGCAACAATCAATGTATTTCATTATTTAACATTATCACCATTCATTGGCTATTCGTTTTTATAGACACCAGGGGTTTCCATTGATGTCTTATTTAATACGCAAAAGAAAATAAAACAAAAGAGAAGATAACAAACATTGTAGCAAAGTAGATGCAGACACATCCCACAAAAGAGATAGGCATTAACAATGAGGGGACAAGGATGACCCTTGGTCAGTAATAGTGGATGAGTAGTCCCTCTCAAGCGTGTTTGGCAAAGGAGACAAGCTCATGGGTGTAACTTTGTCATCTTAGGTGGATAGTGGGACATGTCCCAAGGCTGCAACCATAGGCCAGAAGAACATAAATCATCCACCACAAATTTGCTTCCTTCATATCTTCAAATTCTTCTCCTATATATATGGTTCAGTCTTCCCCTTGAATAGAGAACAAGCACAGGCTTTCATCAAGTGTTGAAAAACTTGGCATAAACAAATGGCAGCTAGTGTATTCTCAGTTAGGGGTTCAAAGCTTCGATCCCCCAGGTGTTCCAAACAAGTTCGACAGCACAGGACACGACTTTACATAATCTGGAGATGCACTGTGTTACTCTTATGCTGGCATGAATGAAGCCAAATATCATCACAGCTTGGTCTTGGTGCCACTCCAAGTTGAAGAAATGGCAAAGTTAGATTTACGTTGAAGCAGAAGTTGGAGTTCCCTTTTTTGCTGATAACCATAATGAGAGTGAAGAGATAAAGTGAGACTTGTATTGTCAAAAAGGGACAGAGTTTAGGGGGTAGAGTAGGTAATTAAAGGGGCTGTATGAAGCAGGAGTTCCTGCTCAACATGTAAATTAAAAACTAGGCTGTTTATAATTCAAATTGAAGATACAACTTGTTTTTTATATCTCTCTCTCTCTCTCACTCACAATAACATATAATCACTGCCTTTGCTTTTTTACTTTTATCAGCATGAATTATAGGAAGTCAACACCAAATTTGTCTTGATTAAAAATTTACAATCCCTTATTAATGTCACTCTGAAACTAGTTCAGACAGTTGATCACTACTTACTTAGACAAGTTTATTGTTGAAAATATTAAGAGTATTTTTGTTACAAATTTTAATTATAATTTATATATTTAGAAGTATCTATATATTATAAATTTTAGTTACATAAAATAAACATTTATTATATAAAATGTACATGTTAAAATGCAGTTAAAAATCTAGAGCAGTTGTGAAGGCAGCATAATGATTTTGTCATATAGTAAGAGCAACCACAACTTTCAATTATCGCTCCTTATGTTTCAATAAAAAGTCGTCACATTATTTTATTTATTTATTAAATTTAAATAATTGATTAGATAATTTTTATCATATAATAAAATGTATAGAAAATTAATTGGTCATAAAATATGATGACATAAATAGGCAAATGGGAAGGCCTGAAAAACATGAATGTTTTTAAAAAAGAAAACCTTTTGTTTGTTTGGTTGGTAGACATGTAAACTGGTACTGGTCGGCAAACATTATTTATTTCCTTATCTCTTTTTCTTTCTGTATTTCACTTTCACTTTATATAATATATCATTAAAAATTGGATTAATTGTAATTTTTAATCTCTTTATTATTATTATTATTATTATTATTATTATTATTATTATTATATCTCTACCTTTTTTATTTTAAATTTAATTCTCACTTTTTTAATTATTAAATTTTGGTCTATTTATTATCTTGACATCTAATATTTAAGGAAAATTATAACATCTTGCAGTAAATTGTTATAGAATAAAAACATTGAGATTAAATTGAAAAAAAGAAGAAGTGTAAACCCAAACTGTATAGTTAAAATTATGAGTACTCGAAATTCAATCGATTAAAAAATAATTATAAACTGATAGAAAATTAAAAACCGATCATTATCAAATTTTTATTAAAGTTTTTGGATATATATATATATATATATATATATATATATATATATATATATATATATATATTTTTAAATCACATGATTGAGTTATGATTTCAGATTAAAAATAAGAATGATTTATTGTATTTAAATAAAATATATTTAAAAGTAATTATGAAAGGGTGATAATATATAATTATATCTCTTAAAAATTATATTTATATTTATTAAAAATATGAGAATAACTTGAGATATAATATTTAATTACAATATTCTTAATTTATTTGTAAATTAAAAAAATTCAATTATACGATTTATTTTATATATCTCTTTATTTGATTATTTTTTATTATAAAATTTTTAACCATTTTTTTAAAGAAAATATTTTAATACTTTTAAAAAAATTATTTAACAATTTTATAGTAATAAAAATCTCAATCAATATAAATTGAAATAGCAATTTAGTTCAATTTAAATTTTATGTTAAATTGAAATCGAATCAAACCAACAACCTAGTTAAAATAATAAAATTGAATTGGAAAAAAACAAATTAAAAACTTGAAATATAATGAGTGTAATCTAATAATCTTCGCAATACTCCCTCTTCGTCAATAATAAATAGATATGGATATGGATCGTCCAGAGTTCAAATGTAAACCGCACATGGTGCAGTATGGATATAATGATTTATAGTAATAACATATAATTATGTATAATTTTTAAGAAAAAGCATACAATATCCAAAGGACGAATGAATGCAATTTAAGAAACAATTTATTTTGAAAAGTTTGAACTCACTAATGTGGCATTACTGTCGCGTGCAACTAGTAAGTCAACCGGCACATACATATTTACATCACCCAAACTCACAGTTGTATACATGAATTGGACTTATGTACACTCTTATACTGTATATATCTTTTTTTTTTCTCTTTTTTTAACTTATTTAATTCTTATTTGTTTTTTTTTTCCTCCACATATCCCAAACACAACCCTCTCAGTAATTAAATGAAGACAACGACAAACCAATCACCATTATAGGTGAGAAAGAAGAAAGAAAGTAATTCTCAATGACATTATATACAAAATTTGCAAAACAACCTCGAGCAATACTATATAAATCAAAAGTATCCAGATCACACAACTAATTTGAGTGACATCCAAGGATTCTAACGCTTATTTTGTTGTATAAACAATAGCACCAAATCCTATGTTGTTTTCCACGTGGGCATAACAAACAGTCAGTAAACTCCAGAACTGAGCTCTGCCTCATTCTCAAAAATATCCCACCCATCATCAAGAAGAGCATCGCGTTCAGCTTTGGATTTTTCCTCGTCGTGCCCGCTTTTGGAACAAAGGCTTTCAATTGAAGTTACCAGGCATGTCTTACTTCTTTCAGAGGAATCACTATGCACAGAACCTACATCAGATGTCGCAGCCTTGTGGGACATACCTGATGAAGCCAACTTGCAACTGGTCTGGCTTGAGGTGAAGGATTGACTCAATGGAAGATTTGCATCAAATTTCTCTTTTAGAAGCCTAATATCCTGACAAATAACAGAAATTTCTCCTCTGCAAAGTTCAATGAGAAGTAAATATATTATATTAGAAAGTGCAAATATATTACAACTACAAGAGGTCAATTGATAACGTAGTCCACAGATACGCGTGTTGAGGGAAGAAAGGAAAGAATATCCAAGTCCTAGAACAGACTGAAACATCAATTTCAGGGAATGATGTCAAACAAAATGCATTCTCGTACGACAATGACCATTTAAAACTGTAACGTAATGGTCATAATCTTAAGCATTCATATAATAATCTGAAATCGACGGTAAGTTTCACAAAAAATTAATAATTAACAGCAAAGAGAATTGGATTAAAATAATATTAATACCGGACACAAGCAGATAAATGAAACTATGTTTAAGAAAAACTTACTGCAACATATCAACAACCTGCCCTCTATCCATCAGGAACTCTCGTAACTGCAGAGATTAAAAGGAGGGGATAAATATCATAAAATATAAAGAAAAAACATCGCTAATTTGAGTTTGCATCTAAAGTAATAATAAGGGTGTACCATTCCTTAATTTAATTTAAAGGGAATAATGATCATAACCCACAAAAGATTTAAGGGCAGATAAACCCTAGTTCGCTTTAAAACACAAGCTCATCGCTTTGTCCAAAATATTACATGTATGACGTAGAATAAATGGAATGGTTTAGAAGCATGAGAAACACTAGTAACCTTTGAATTCTCTTCTGCCTCCTGCTGTAGTCTTCTTGATTCATGTAGTACCTTCTCCACCAATTTTTCCTGTTCAACAAGAGCCTTTCGTGCTGATTCCTCTTTTTCCAGTTTTTCATTCTCAGCTGCTTTCCTCATTTCTTCTGCTGCAGCTAGTCGTGCTTCAAGAATTTCACGCATCTGGAAGCCAGAACAAGGAAATGAACCAAATAAGATGCTAGAAATTTTACTTCTTAATTGTCAAGTTAAGTAATCCAATTGCAAAAGGAATATGTTTTTGAATCATCAACCAATATTTTTAAATCACATGCCTTCCTTAGCCATTATGTTATAATAGAGAAGAGTCTGATTATTACAATAGTTAGGAAGGTGTTCAAGGTATTCTGAAATGCATAAATATGTGCAGCAAAGGTATGCTAATTAAATTTCTAATGAATACACAAAAGTTTAAAGCACCCACCTCATCAAGAATTGCAAGAGACTTATCCCTTTCATCAGACAAGCTGAGTAACCGTGATTGAAGTTCCTTCAGTTCAGTTGCCAGAATTGATTTTTCTCCATAAACTTCTCCTGCATGCTGCAAGAACAAGTTGAGAATAAATATTTTTTGTTTGTCTCGTACAAAACAATAAATGCTAAAGATTTTGTGACTTTTACACAACCATGTCATTTGCTTCTTTAGCTTGTTCCAGCACTGCTTTATAGTCATCTACCATGGCCAGAATATTAAACCCTCCGCCAGCAGCTTCCATATTGGCCTGCTCTGCAGCTTTCTCCTGAAGTTCCACATCCCTCATCAAGGTGATAAGAGATTCCATTGATGAAAACAAGGTTTTCTGGATCAATGTCAGATAATCTCAAGATGTCACGATTATTAAAGTCTTACAACCAAACTTTAAGCATATCATTCTATATATCAATAAGGCTTACACATTGCTGTGATATCTACTCTTTTTTTTAATCATTGATAAAATGTAAGGTGATCATTCAGTATAGCGACAATGATTTTGATTGCCATCTTCATAAACTCTGCTACATATGGTATATTGTTATAAAGCTAGTATTCCTAACACCCAAATATGAAATCTAGGACTACTAATACCTTGTTACTTTTAGCCTCATCAATGATTTCCTCAAGCAGATCAATTCTGCTTACTTGGATATATTGGCTAACTTCATTCTTGCCTCCAATATCATCTTCAACATCACGAGTTTTGTCATCAGCACTAGAAGACCCAGCATCCAATTCCCGTTGAAGACTATTTTTAGAATTTAGAGTATTCCCTTCCTCATGGCAAACAGCTTGAGCCTCTGAATTTTCTTCCTCGGTCAGGTAAGTTTCACAATCCTCCAGTAAGTGGCTTGTAGTGGCATCATAATAATCAGCTGAAGCATCTACAAAATTTACCAATTCTTCACTTAAATGGTTTCCAGTTCTATTTTCATTTTTATTATTGCAGGTAGCCTCCTTGCTAAGGTAATTATGTTCAGGTTCCATCTCTTGACATATACCAGAAGAAATCAAGTTTTTAGACTCAGCATCAACATGAAGTCGTCTCTGATCAAAATTTTCATTATCTTCCTGACCAAAGCCATTTGAAGTCTCCAAAGCAATCTTGTTTGAGGTCTCTTCTATGGTGTTATCCTCAACATTCTGAAAAACATTTAGCTCCTTCATGTCATCCATTCCAAGAGACTTTTCAGTACCATCATTTAAATTACTGACGTTTAACAATGTAGACTTGTCCAGAGCTTCATTCAAATCTGGTACTAAAGAATACTCAGCTGTTTTGGGAGTTTCCATATGTATAGATTGTGGAGCAGAAGAAGGCCCCACAACTATATCTTGGACATGCCAACGGTGCAATCTATTGCCTTCCTCCTCACTTTCAGCTACATATTGAACATGTCATGAGAGATATATTAGTAAACCAGATCAATGCAAACAAGGTACAGTCATATAGAAAATGAATGTACAAATAAGCAACTCCACCTTCAACACTTAGTGGGGATCCATGGCCATTGTCCTGTGGAGGAGTTGCAAGAGTTAATTTTTTGGATATGAACGGGATGACTTCTGCAAGAACAACTCCAGCAGCGAGATCAGCATCCTTTGGGTGTTCAATAGCCACAGCTCTCAGTAACCTGGCATCAACCTGGTCAAAGCAAATTGATAAACTTCAGTTAGGATGAGTTATAGATAACAAGTTAGACTTATTCCCAGATTCGTACATCTTTATTAATACTCTAGATTTTAGAATGTTTGATGATTATGATAATTCTTGGCACCAGTAAGTTTATTCTCAAGTGTATGTCAACTACAACAAGGAATTTCTTAACAGTTTAACAGAATTTGTACTTCCTTAGTGATCATGTTACGTAGCACAAACACTAGCCATCCCCCATGTCAAAAACAGAGGAGCCAATAGCAACAACATCCATTCATCCAAATATGCATGTTCATGCACTTAATGCTCAACTCGAGAGTCCAATCATCTCTCTTTTTATTTGATTAGTATATTGGAGTTCCAAGCAACTTCACAAATCACAACTATAATCCAAAAACAGTAGATCACATAGCAACTAATAGTTATACTTAAAAAATAAAATAAAATAATAGATTAATGTGCAATCACATTTTTGGCGACAAATAGTAAAGAGCTATACCTGCGGAAATAACTCCTGCAAGCTTCTATAGACAGAATTGAAACCCATGATCAAGATAGACAATCCGCAAATCTACAAAAAAGGAAGAGATTTTAGCTTTCAATATTGATGTTTTAATTATTTAATAATAAAAACACGTGATATGATTAAACCTAAAAGCGATGAAAATTAGGGTTGGCGAATTATGAATAGAATTCGTCCAGAAAACGATATTGAGGAACCCTAAGCCGGCTGTTTGAATATACAAAATTAAAGGCACTTTGTTTCGTCTCCCCTCCCCCCACATCGTTTTTCATTATTTTTGCAGAACCCTTTGGCAAACAAAAACCGCTTGCTATTGGTAAAGTTGAAAACCCTGTCACTCACGATATGAAAAAGAAAAATGAAAATATTCATCGAGATACCTTGTTTTGAGTAGGGCAAAAATGAGAAAACGAAAATTGGGAAGAAAAAATGGAAAAAGATAAAAGAATTGAGGGTGTATGAGAAGAGATGAGTGACCTTGACCAGTTAGTGTGAAAATGGAATTGAATTGGGGAGCAGACGTAAATTATGCAATTTCCTACTCTCTGGAATTATGGAAACTGACCAAGCTAAGGTATTGGATATTTTCGTGAATTTCGTCCAGAAGAAGGGTGTTTAACCATTCGAAAAAAAAAGTCCAAATCCTGGAGATTTTTTTTTTGAAGATAAAAATCAAGAGAATAAAAATAATAATAATAATTAAATTAGATATTATTGTTAATTTCGTTCAAAGGGAGGGTGTTTCACCATTATTTTGATTGAAAATAAATTATTTGAATAATATAATATACTCATATTTTTTATTATAAAATCTAAATATATAAAAGTAAAATAGTAATTTTGACTTTATTAAAAAATATTAAATTTAATTTATATTTTTTATTATTTATTATTTCTTAAAAGATAATAAATAATTTGTGTTTTTAAGATTAATATTATATATTTAACTTTAATATGTCTTTTTTTATATTTTTTTTAATATCTCATTCTAAGTTTTTTTTTTATGTTTTATTTTCTTCTTCCTTACCACTCTAATTATCTTCTTTCATGTCATCATCCTTTAAAATTTGATAATAATCACACAACTATATTACCTCATTATCAATCATAATAAAACTTTATCTTGATCAAACCAGACAAATTTTTATTGTGATCATCATCCTAATTAGAGTTGAAAAATCTAATATTTATTATTTTCTTTTTTCTTTTAATTTTTTTATTAATGGTTATCTACATATATAGGAAAAAACATTTAAAATATATGTTTCTAACCATTTTGTAGATATTAAAGATTCTTATAGAAGAAACCATTATTATGGTAGAAATTTTAAATTCTTTTTTTTAGAGTACATGAAAATATTATGTGAAATCCTTAGTAAAGATTTACCATTAAAAATGCTTTAATTTTTTTTTAATAATCAGTTATTCTAATTTTTTTTAAGATATTTCTTGAAAAATAACGTTCCAAAAAATACATAATTAAATTTTTTTTATATTTCATTTTAGTCTCACAAAGGGTGAAAATGATTATAATTTATTGAAAATTAAATAAAATGTGTTAGCACAAGGAGACACTAGTGCAAAAGGAGCTTTTACGTCGGGTATTTAGGGCTTTTCACGTCGTATTTAAAGCTGACGTTAAAGCGGAGACGTAAATTTACGTCGGACCCTTTAGCCCGACGTAAATTTACGTCGATTATCAAGACCCGACGTAATTTTGCGTTGCATATACCACTAAACAGACGTAAAAACTTTCGAAATTAAAAAAAAAACGACAAATTTACGTCGCATATGGTATATGTGACGTAAATTTACGTCGCATATACCAATACGCGACGTAAATTTGCTTGTTTTTTTAATTGGGTTGATTACGTTTTACAACTAAAACCTGCAAATATATATTACAACCGAGATAGTTCAGAGGTTCAATTTTCTTTAGCTAGTAATATAATGATGAATAAATATAATGTTATTTTCAAAATTTAAATACAAACAATAATTATGGTATTCACTTATTATAATAAGTTTCTAATCTTAGGATAAATGAACTGCAAAGTCTTTTTTCGGGTTTTCCACTTAGAACATTAGTTATAGACACGATTCTAAATGAAAAAAAGCCATATATTATTCAATACCTTTTCCATTTTCACTACCAAATTTCAAAAATTCATCAACTCCCTTTTCGTACTCTTCACTAATACGACGTGCATTCATCCAAGTTCGATTCATATTATGTTATAAAGTTTCGTCACTCCTAGATATTCAAAATCTATATTTAAAAATAAATTAATATACAAATAATAAAGCACGTATATGGAGTGTGTAAACCGAAAATGCACTCAAACAAAATAATGACATTCCAATAACAATCTAGTGGAGACATTCATACAATGACGTGATTTAGATCCCCAAAAACAATCACGGATTCAATTTGAACATATATCAGGAGACATAGAACACTAACCTCGAGTAAACACGAAAACGATTTCAAACTCGAATCCAATCGGGGAGAAATGTCAAATTCGTAAAATGAGACACAATGTTGATGTTCTTCACTGCCAAAATGATCGAAAATGGTGTGGAAAGGTAGCTATCATTGTCGTTTTCATTGTCGTTCTAAAAAACCCTTGCGGCGCGAGATGCGGGAGTGGGTATGGAAGAGATTAAAAAGAACTTTTTACGTCGCACACCCTAGTACGTGACGTAAAAAGTCTCTTTTACGTCGCGTGGGGGGTGCGCGACGTAAAAAGTGATACTTTTTACGTCACATGGGGGGTGCGCGACGTAAAAAGTGCTTTTTACGTCGCGCACCCACCATGTGACGTAAAAAGTATCACTTTTTACATCGCGCACCCCCATGTGACGTAAAAAGTGATATTTTTTACGTCGCGCACCCCCCATGTGACGTAAAAAGTGATACTTTTTACGTCGCGCACCCCCCACGTGACTTAAAAAGCTCTCTTTTACGTCGCATTGTACCAGGTGCGACGTAAAAGAGGTTTTTAACGTCACCTCCTACAATATGCGACGTAAAAGTTTCACCTCTTATTTACAAAATTGCCACCGCGTTTTATTTACGTCGAATATTTTGATATGCGATGACAATTGGGTGACATAAAATGTCATTTTTGCACTAGTGAGATCCACTAGCATTATCAGAAGACACATGTGATTTCAAAATTATCTAATTTGAAAACGGTCAGATAGAACAAATGTAAAAAAGGGTCTTTACAAGACCTTACATTAGATAAAGAAAAGTTGAGTTTTTAATATTAGTATTTTTGTTTCCTTTCTCTTACCCTTAACTTTTATGACATGGTAACAATTTGGTGTTTTCATTGATCTACATCCATGCCTTCTAAACCAAACATAAAGAAATGGAAGAAACCTTCCAAACCATCCTCAAAAAATTGGGTAACATTCAAATCCAATTAGATTCCGGAAGAGACTTACAAGAAGCTTGTTATCAATCTTTTTACTCTACCATGGATAATTGTCAAATCAGCTTTAGAATCTATCCACACTAACATTAACACCATTCTTACCACTAATGAATCACATGTCCATAAACACCTTTCCATATTTCACCACCATTATCCACAGTACATCTATTACAATGCTTTTATCCCACACTACCACTACTCCTCCCCTCACGACTCTTTTTTCATCTGACTCTTCATTTTTCGAAAATGTTTACACTATTACCACCATAACATCCACAACTTTCCCTCCTTTGTTACTTTCCATCCCTCATCTCTACACCAAGTGCCAGATCTTTACCATTGATTTTTGGGGGTCAAATAATATATTATTAATAAATAATAAATAAATATAAAAAAGGGTGAAAGAAGATAAAAGAGTGAAAGGATAAAATTAAAAATTTATAAATAAATATATTAAATGATATTTAAGTTTGAGGGGACAAAATCATAAATTATATGAGAGTTAGGAGTGATGAGAGGATAAAATTGTAAATATACAAGTAAATATATAAAATGATGATTAAGTTTGAGGGCAAAAATCATAAATTGCATGGAAGTTACAAAACTTTGGGAGGTCACGACCCTCCTCACCTTCCAAGATGATCGGCCACTGTCTGCACCAATTTCGGCCACCAAAACTACAACTATCCTTTTTTTATGCCTCTAAAGCTTTAGATTGACTTTTTCAAGTTGATCAATATGTTCTCTTTTATCAAATTCTTTGGGATTCTAGATAAAATATGATTGTTTCCGCCATCAAAAGAGGCGGTCGGAGCGACGTGATGATTTTGATTGACTCGCGTTTTTTTAAAGAAGTGATTCAACGCCTTTAGGTTGTCCGATAACTAGGATGGACCTGAAGGCAAGGTTTTGGAAAAGGTTCGAGGAGTCGTCATCAGTGTTTCAACCTTAAACACTGAAAAGGGTGAAAAAAGAAGAAGGCAGTGGTTTTAGAAAAAACCAACTTTGGCCATTACAACCAGAGTCAGGTAAGGGAGTTAGTTACGTGTGGAGAAGATGTTAGCACCCCACAACGCCCCTTTCGGGTTCCCTATGATGGACTAGTTTATAAAATAAATACTTAAAGAAATTATGTTTTTACCCTATTATTTTATCTACTTGCAGAATTTAAATGTCTACATGGCTCTAATATCTAATGCATACAAGGAAAACAGTAAAAGAAATCATTAAAAGAGAAGAGATATGAAGGAGAACCTCCGAAGCAAGCTTTTATAAATATCGAACTTGAGGACGCTTTTTGGCAGTCCCCGCACTCTACAGAGTCACTCCTCCCTCGAACAAAAAATAAGAGTATCACCCTATCGAGGCCCGGACGTCTCAAAAGGAGACTTCCCTAACCGATTTCTACCTTAAACGGAAATCAGAAAACTCACTCGAACTCTAAAATAATGCTCAGAGTCACTCTAAAGTGCCAAAAGGCTTCCTAGAGAGTGTAAGAGTGGGGATATGTGAAAATTCGAGGAATGAGGGCTCCTATTTATAGGGAACCGCACCAAGAAAAAGTGGACTGTCGTCTGGACA